CGGGGTCCATTTCCTGCATTCTGAGCATCCAAATTTGCTCTAAAATTTATGCTAACTATACTTGTATTTGAAATAAAAGAAGGGAAAAATGCACAAAAAGTAAAGAAGAATATTAACCGTAGTAGATTTATCATTATACTTATCAGAGGGGGATACCAATGACCGAAGGCCACGTGTGTGGGGGCATAATCTCCAGAAAGTTTTTCAAATTTGAAAGGGGGCATTTCCCCCCCCCCCAGCTTGTATGTTAAAAAAGGCTTTGGATGGATAGCAATTTGGTTGACCGAAACTGAATTGGACTTTCAAATCGATGAAGTGAAAAATATTTTTTTACCAATGTCAATTAATTAAAGAAAATGATTCCTTGATATTTGCGAGATTCGAATGCTAGACACGACAGACCATACGCTTGTCGGTGGCAATATTATGCGTAGAAAGTTAATGTAAAGTGCCAAAAAATTCCCAATGGGACTCTAAATTTAATCTAAACTACTGTGGAATAACGCGAGATCAACTAATTTATCTGCAAATTACTCGTTTGACATGACACTGAAATTAGTTCTAATTAATTCTCATGTGATTTCAAAGGGTCCACCTCTTTGGGCTATTAGTAAAACCAGGAACACCGGAACACTGGAACAGCATCATTCCGGAACACGGAACACCGGAACACTAAAAATTCTTAATTTGTTAAAAATTCGAAAAAAAATACCGGGGGGGGGGGGTGAAAGTATTGCTGCAATAATTATTGCGTAAAACGTGCTTTTTTAATTTTCTGACTTGGCTGACGATAGCTACTAATAACGAACAGAGATCCTCACAGAAATCAGTCTGAAAGTAATAAATATTTGCCCAAATTGAATAGAATTGTTATTTGTTGAGAATAAATGGCCCATCTTTGTTTGTTGTTCAAAACATGTCAATCAAAATATTAAAGTAACAACAGTTGATTGCCTTCCTTGTTTTTACCGACTTAGCTACTTTTGATTTGCAAAAGATAATTTTCAATTCTCGTTCGAAGTTGGCATTTAGCATCAAGGCCATGTAAGTTGTATATATAAATGATGTTTCAACGCATGCATGTGTGTCTATTCGTCTATGTTTATTGTTTAAACTGTAAATTAAACTGATACTCAGTGAGGGAATTTTTGTACGAGCTCGAGCCGGTTTTCGCTTGCCCTGAGATTCATTGTTGGCAGGCTAGTATGGCATAGCATACCGAGCATACTACATACAAAAATGTCGCACACGACGACGCGGTACTAGGTTATATGTCCTGTATATATCATTATCGAGGTACTGACACAGTATAGCACGAAAGATTGTATACACTAAATTATTCCCTTTAAGGATGCGCCATTTTTATATTTATAAACAACAAATTGATTTTACAACTTGCACTTGAAAAATAGATGTGTAATTTTCAACTTCCGCCGATTGAGTATATAAGTACGGAAAAATATTGAAGAATGAATTATTAATTTAGAATTCTGTGATTCGATACCCGAGACAATATTCGTTCTAATTTGTTCTGTAGTATAACAATATATGCAATACGGCCAACGACCTGATATACAAACTCGTCAACCTCACGACATGTCACCGGCTTGCCAGATTCTCACTGCCTTGAAAAACTGAATTTCTTCCAATTCTTAAAGTACAAAACCAAATTGGCTAAGATAAACAAGAGAGGAATACGTCATCTTCTGCTGACATGTTTGTACTGATCAACATGTTGTTTATAAATATAAAAATGGCGCATCTTAAAAGGAATAATTTAGTGCATAGGCGTCGAAAGATCGATAATTGGGGGGCTCCATATTCATATATTCGTGTTTACATACCATAAAAACAATTGATTTCAAAAGAAATTAATAAAGCAGAACACGAATATATAAATATGGACCCCCCAATTATCGATCTTTCGACGCCACTGATTTAGTGTATGCAATCTTTCGTGCTATACTGTGTCAGTACCTCGATAATGATATATACAGGACATATAGCCTAGTACCGCGTTGTCGTGTGCGACATTTTTATATGTAGTATGCTCGGTATGTTATGTCATACTAGCCGGCCAACAATGAATCTCAGGGCAAGCGAAAACCGGCTCGAGTTCGTACAAAATTCCTTCACTGAGTATCAGTTTAATTTACAGTTTAAACAATAAACATGGACGAGTAGACACACATGCATGCGTTGAAACATCATTTATAATTATATATACAACTTAAATCTCGAAAAATACTACCGAATTACTGAGAAATGAAAGTGGGTATCGAGAGTTCAGTCGGGCAAAGAAATCGTGTGTAATTTTCCGACTTGGCCGCTTGAACGGCCCTTCACAACTTCCTATGTTGCTATCACTGCTTGGTGGAGATATTGAAGTAAACCCTGGACATAACTGGAAGTTCCCTTGTGGCATTTGTCTTAAACCTGTTAAGAAGAACCAGGCGGGAATTCAGTGCGGCGAATGTAGTGGCATACTTCGAAACCCGGACCGGACTCGGACCCGGACTCGGACTCGAAGAAAATCCGGACTCGAGAAAAACCCGGACCCAGACTCGAAGAAAATCCGGACTCGTGTTTAACAAAACCCGGACTTGAATTTTGAAAACCCGGACTCGAAATAGACAAAACCGGATTCAAAACAAGGACTCTGTGTACGAGAATGCAAAGGTTTTATCGGTAATAACTCGCGGATAAATGGATTTGTGCTCTTGCGCGGGTGCCCCTCTCTCTTCTCGCTTTCTGTACTGATAGATAGAATACTTTATTTCAAAAGCAATAAGCTTTGGTTTCGAAAGATGTAGATATTTTTTCTTCTAGTGACTCAGTGTTATGCGTTATCTGAGGATACTAATCAGTTATCATACTATATGGTTCCTAACAAAATAATCACTATATATTATAGCCTACCTAAACAAATCATTTAGGCACGTAAACACCAAAATGCATTTATACATACTTACTTACCTACTTAATTTAAAAATTTATTTAACCACGCTGACCATACACAACATATTTGTAAAATTTGTAAAATACATACTCCTGCGAGTAGCTAAATTTACCCTAGACAAAAATTAATAACTAAAATCTGTCTCAGCGCTAAGAATGTCTTGTCTGTAAATCACTCGTTACACGATTGCTGCCATCATAGCAGACTCAACGTGATCGATGGCGGCAAGGGTAAAAATCGTAAAATATATCCTCGGAACATATTCGACCTCACTATCGGCAAAATGACACGAAAAATAACTAGACTTCAACCCATCAAAAGTAACTTCAACCAATCAAAAAGAACGTCGGAAAAGCACATCCCATGTTGAAGGCAATGAAGGTGTCGCGGCAACCGCGCCTAAAATGCTAAATACCGACTGTGAAGTAATTCGAGCGTTGTGCGGATGGACATAAATTTGATATTATATCATGCTCTCAAATATTTGAGCAAAACGCCACTGGAAACAAGTTTATTTTCTCAATTTTGTTAAGATAAAGTCCATAAACATGAATTGAACACCCGCAATTATTCTTTATCAAAAATAGTAGAAAACACAACACAATGAAAGCCGCAGCCGCGGCCGACAGTGAAATTCGCGTTGGATGGTTGGCGTAAATTTGATATTGAGACTCTCTCGTTAGGCAATGCGTTCATCAATTGCCCCATATGCCTTGTATACAACCGCGGCTCGATACTGACAATGAAGTTTGACAATAAATCAAGTTAACGTTATTTTGAGAATCAACAATCAACATGCTACCCTCGTACTAGCTACTTGTAGATCGTTGTGCATCAATACATTTTAGTTTTTAATAACATATAAGTGCCTAAATGATTTGGTTCCAGTATATCTAAGCGATTATTTTGTTAACAGCAGAAGATTAAAAATATCGAGATAAAGATATAAAGAGATCATCGTTTGGTGGTTGCATCCCTTTTTTAAATCATTTTACAAAATTTCTTCAAAATTTTGGTTTAGTGTGTTTTATATATTTTAAATATTGTACTTTCAGAATTTATAGTTATTTTTATGAAATTTTTATTTTTTAAATGCGAAAAATGCTTTTAAAGTGGTCATGATCCATAATTTTCTCCCTAGCAACACCTTAGTAACGAGTTTTTATCCAAAATTTACATGAATTATTAAAAAATAGGTACGCAGTGCGTACATGTTGCATGCCATCAAACCATGAAACCTCATGACTCAGAATACTATACAGAACTCCATCTCCATTGTTTCCTGCGTAAGTGGTATTCGTCATGATGATTCGTCACTTGGCAAGTACTGTAAACAGAAGCAGTCACCCCCTGGTACAGACACGATTGACACCCCCTAACACGCCCCTCATGAAAAACAGCTGATGTTGATAAGGCTAGTGTGTGAAAATAAAGTGTTATGTATGTATGTACAGAAGGTCGACTCGAGTAACCGCTGCTAGGTGTGCCAGCCAGTGCGCGCCAGAGAGGCATTCCCTCCCTGGCATTCCGCCATTTTGAATATTATCAGGGGGATTGAATGCCTCCCAAACGCGTACCGACCTGGACCATGGCGTCAGCATTTGATGACAAAGACGGTCACACCAAAATCATT